TCTCCTATATTATATATATATATATATATATATATATATATATATATATAAACCTCATTTAATGAATTTTCATATACAAATTTTATAAATTAAGCTTAAGATTATATTTATTATATGATATAATAACATTAATTTTGAAAACAAAACAGTAATGAGAACATAAAATATTAATTACATTAATTTTAAATTATTGAAATTTTAGAATAAAATAATTATAAAATTCACATAAAAATATTAATTATAAAAATTGACTAATATTAAAATATAATAACACATTGATAAAATTAGAATTAAAAAATTTTCAAAAGTTTTTTTTTTTTAAGAAATAAACTTACATTTATGTCGCAAAAATTTATGGTATATTTTATTTTATTTACTTATATTTATATAAACACATTCTGATATTTCATTTTTTCTTTTGACAATTAAATATATTTTGATATTTATATAATAGATAATTGTATTATTTTTAAAATTAAGTAATAAAAATATATATAATAATAAATTATTGTCAAAATATACATAAAAAAACAAAGAAAATTCTCTATAAGAGACGAGTTAATCAACTAGTTTAACTGATAGAAATATATTTAAGTAAACTTCTTTTATACCTAAAAATAAACAAATAAATAAATAAACTTCTTTTGTCAGAAAGTTTTTTTTTTTTACTATTGGGCCTGGACACTAGCAAACCCAACGAGGAACGAATTTTTATCACAAAAACAAAGAAAAAAAAAACTTAGGGTTTGTTGAGTGTTGTTGATAGAAAAGGGAGTCCTTATCTTGCATTGTTTAGGTCTTCGACGTGAGAGTTACCATTTGCTCCCAACACTGAGCTTAAACGAGCTTCACAAAGGTACCGTATCTACTGCACTATGCTTTATTCACCAAATTGAATCATCATTTTGTTCTACCTTGTTATGGTTTATGTTAATTCTTGGTTTCTCAACCATTTGGTTTCACCTTTGCAATGTTGTCATGTAACGATTGAGTTTTTTTTTTTTTTTTTTTTTTTTTTTTTTTTTTTTGTTGGGTTGGGTCCTTTTGTTGGAATTATCATACCCTCCATCTCTCTCTTTTTGTATGAGATTTCGGAACAGATCGATTTTTGGTTCATTTACAATTCATCAATCAGTTTTAGGGCTTCTAACTTTTTCGAGTCACAGATTATTTTTCTTCTTCCATTGCAAAGTGCAGGAAGTGAGATTATAATGATTTCTTTTTATAGTTTTCTTATGTGAAAGACTGAAAGTGGATAGGTGATTTGGAGTCACCAATTCAACTGAGGTTCATTATGTGTCGCAGTTGGCTTTTTAGTTGAGCTTTTCTGATAGCCTACGTGGATGATCAAAAAGAAAAACTTTGGTTCTTCCGAGTTGTTTCAATGCAGAAAAATATTGGAAACCTGAACTGAGGAGGCTGTGTAAAAGATCCTTCTGTATTCTGTGTTCTACCTTAATGATGTTCTTCAGATTGGTTGTTATGATTTAATATTCGGAATGCATATACTATCTAGAATATGGACTTGGTGAAACAAACTTGTGGGCTTTAACTTAAGGTTGTCACCTTGATGTGATACGATACAATATAATCTAGTATTGTAGTTGGATTCATTTTGAGTTTGCGCCCAAGCCTTATAGTTGAGTACTGGTTTGATGGGTAACACAACATCTCTTAAAATCCAATTGTTTTCTTTCAATAAGGAATTAAGTAGCATATCAACTTTAAACTTCTCTGTTATGAATTTGGGTATTGATTTATGTTTTTGATGGTCACTCTTAGAAGTCCATATAAAATTACTTCCGCTGTTATTGGTCACTCTTATAACCAAGTTTAATTATTGGTCTTTTGTCTGCCTTTGTATTCTTGTTACTATTCGTTTTTAGATCTTTGTTTGGTCTTGGTTGTGGTGAAATTTATTTTTCTCCCTTGCCTTTAACCAGATGAATCGGGAAAGGTTGATGAAGATGGCCGGTTCAGTTAGAACTGGAGGAAAGGGTACCGTGAGAAGGTAGTCCATACATTTAACCTGTGATTTCATCTAAATGAAAATCAGATTTCTTATCAAGTATGCCAACATTATATTAGAACATGTTATGTTTTTGTTAAATCTTTAGTCTCATTGGATGCAACATTAGCCATAGAAGAACATATGAAATTTTAGTTTTCTCTTATCCCCCTCTTCACTTATTTGGGGGTTTGCAACCATTTCTTTTGTTTTTCGAAATTACACACACAGCATGCATCTGTTGTGTTGAAATTTCCCTTCATGTTTTGTCTTCTCTTATTTTAGAAAGAAGAAGGCCGTCCACAAGACAACAACCACAGATGACAAAAGGCTTCAGAGCACCTTGAAGAGAATAGGTGTCAATGCCATCCCTGCGATTGAGGAGGTCAATATCTTTAAGGATGATGTAGTTATCCAGTTTCTAAATCCCAAAGGTAATATCAATCTACAGTTTTTACAATATATATATATATATATATATATATTTAAAATATAATAGTTTTCTTTTTATGTTTCTTCAATTATTTCAAATTGGGAATTTTCGTTTCCAGTGCAAGCATCCATTGCCGCCAATACTTGGGTTGTCAGTGGTTCTCCGCAAACAAAGAGTAAGCAGTTTTATCTCTTTTCATTGTTGTTGTATGCCTAGCTCTGCTTTATTTATTTATTTATATTTTTTTATTTCCTGGTTGAGAGCATTGTCAATTTTTCTGTACATGTTGCAAAAGAAATGTAAATAATAGCTTTGTTTGTGTTGATATTCAGATTATATACTACATAGGCTTTAGCATCAAGGACATATACATTTGTGTTTAGTATATCTGAAGCTTTTATGTCTTAGTATACTATGGCATTGCTTCCCCCTATTTCTAGATTTGTAGACCGAAGTGGCATTGCTTCCCCCAATTTCTAGATTTTTGTTAACATTCAAAGAGGGATTTTGAAAAATAAGCAATTAGTTCTTCACTGATTTGTGAATGAATTGGCATTGAAAATTGACATAAACTTTTTCTGTTTTACAGAGTTGCAGGATATACTCCCTAGCATTATCCACCAATTAGGTATGTATTTATTTATTTATTTTTTTATTTCTTAGAAACTCTTTGGTGTTTCTTCTCCTCAATTTAACATTTTGATTATTATAATGCAGGGCCAGATAACTTGGAAAACCTGAAGAAGTTAGCCGAGCAATTTCAGAAGCAGGCTCCTGAAGGAGGTGCTGGTCCAGCCACAGCACAAGAGGATAACGATGATGATGTTCCAGACCTTGTTCCTGGACAAGATTTTGAGACAGCTGCTGAGGAGGCCAAGGCTTCTTAGAGTGTTTTTGTTTTTGTGCCATTGTTATATATCTCCTGTGTTTTTAATTTTTTTTTCCTGATTTTCCATTTTAAGTATTTCAGATATTCAGTTATCCTGTCATATACTTTAAATAGTTGAAATACTCTATTAAACCTGCCTTCCTGAATCTAACTAGGTATTCTTGACTGAATCTGCCAACTTCCACTAATAAATCGACATTATTAGTGGTTCGGTAGTTAGTATCAGGGGTATTCAAATCATGGCCTGGTTACTAATTTGGCTTAATTTTAAGTTGATTTTGATGGTTGAGTTCTAAAATTTAGATACCATGTATTTTGACTACTTGTTATTACTTGGATCATCATATCCTTGTTCGAAATTGCATATTCTTTAAAAAAAAAAAGTTTTTAAATGTGATGTAGTGATAAGAATGTTTTGATGTAATTGATATTAGGAATGCTATCGATACATTCTATCTCACTTTTTCCTATTGTATGTTTTTATTTCTATGTTGTCTAATTTCTTAATACTTATTTTATATTTTAATTTTATTATTTAATAAATTAAACGAATGTTAAAATCACTTGGTCAATGCCCATTTTGTTGTCGGTGACTCTCCAAACGTAGCAGCAAAATAATGTAGAGAAGTTTCATAATCGTCAAAGTTTTGAATTAAGATTGTTGTCTTAACATTTGAAATTAGTAGCATAATACCAAAGTGGTTACAAGAGGTGCACATTGTTTGTACGTATTTAGCTATCATAGTGCGCAAAGCCTAACAGGGTTTGCTAGATTCAGATCTCTGCCTTTTGTTCGTTGTGTACTATCCTTGTTTTGTTTTGAGTTGTAGGATTATTTCTCTCAAAGGCAGTAGTCGTAGATGGCACCAAAGGCAAAGTGTTGCTGTTGTTGATAAAAAAAAAATAGCCATAGGTCTAAATGTGAAGATATATGTGAATATATATATATATATATTTT